AACACATAATAGAAAGGAAGCAATGTATATTACCAATCCGAACCTTTATTAATTTTAACAACAAAGAAAATATACAAATCCATATGTGTATGTCATGCAGAAAGCTTGCATGTTATATATTTTTGCCTAAACCGCCAATGCTTTTTAGCTTATATACAGACAAGCATATAAAATGTTACAAAGCATATAATTACCCTTCCTACATTTGAGGAAGTAGTGGGGCATTTTCTCCTCTATATCTCAGTAATGCCTCCACGTTCGGCAACCATATCTCTATGATCTGGACATTCATTTCTCCCATGAAGCCATGATCATAACTGTTGTAACAATTCACTTAACACAGCTGTATAATTGCTAGTCTATGTTGTCGAATCTGTTATGTTTGTTATGTGCCTTGAACTGTTCTTTATCCAAGTAGTGTTTTCATCAGATCTTGGATTATCCATCGTCCAAACTTATTCTTAGCCCTGCTGTCAATTATGTCGATGCTGCTGATTACTATTAATAGTGGCAATCTCACCGGTGTTTTCGATTTTAATACTATTGTTGAACTTGACATTGTTCATTATGTCATTTCAATCGTGATTTCCATTAGTGTGTGTCTGTATAAATATAATACCCAGCACAGATTTCTTGGTTTGCTTTGTAAATTTAAATATTTTTAATTTATTTCTTATTTAAATTATAATATTGGAAAAAAATTATAAAGCAAAAGTTTATGAGGGAAAACAGTGAGTAATAAATTGAAAGCGCTGACATTTTTGTTCTTGTTTCTACAAGTACAAAAGCTAATCAATTTTCTTCACTAACACTCTACTCGTGAGATTTTCCATTTGGTTTGTATCCCTATGAAGAGTGAACTGATTTTTCAATTAAAAGTAGTGGGCTGATCTCCATTGATGATCACTAACCAATTCTGAGGGATGTGCCACTTCTTCTGGTCGGTTTCTGTCATTTCTTTGTTCAATATGTTTGCATAGTAGTTTTCTTGTTAAAAAAAAATTGGGTTTTGCTTTAAGTCGGATTTTTTTACTGGTTCCATTCAAAATGGCTTAAGAAGTTCATGATTTGGACCCATTGGAAACTTTATTTTGAGATTCTATCGTTTGCTTTGATGGGTCTTACAATGTGAACTGGATTGGTGAATCATTTTGTTGATTCCCAATACGGAGAAATTAAGGAATATTTGCTTGTCCAAGATAAACTGCGGAAAATGAGTGGTTTTCTTGAATGAAAGTGTGTATGTGTTTATACATCCATTTGCTATTGGTTTCCTGGAGATATTGTTTTGTGTCCCTATGAAGAATAGAACTGAAAGTAAAGGTAGTGGACTGATTCTACTTGATGAACAATGTATCTGAGGGATACATTTTATCTTTCTTGTTTATTTGTACATTTTATATTAACATCTTAAGTTTGTACACGATCACACACTCTTGCTTAATTGCTATAACATACCGTTTGGCTTGCAATTTCCTGTTTCGTATCCATTTGAAATATTTTGCTTTATATGATATTCATTCCTGAACCATGTACTGTTAAATGAGTTTGTTGAATGGAGAGGTTTGGGTTGGGACGGAGGACTTTGTTTGCCTAGGATGTAGCAGATTCTGAAATGCCTTTGTGGAATTATTGTATTATGACCAAAGAAAAGTTTAGTGGATATGTTCTCATATCAAAAAGATTCAGGAAAAAGATTTCAGAAAGTTGATTTATGTTTTCAATGCTAGATCAAGTGGTTGCTTATGCGTGCTTTCATTTTCTTCACTTGAACCCATCAAAATTTATTGTTCAATGCTAGATTGAACATTGCACATCTCTGTGATGAACGATTTGAAATTGAAAAGTAGCGGGCTGATATCTTTTGATGAAGAAAATAATTATGAGAGGTGTGCATTTCTTTTAAGATAACATGATCAAATTATTTACTGGTACAGTAATTTAGTGTCAAAAAACAAAATTCGAGCTTTGTGTTTTATTCTTACGCATTGCTATTAGTAAATTGGAGTTTCCGTGAGGTCTCTGATCCCTCACACACTCCACTTCCTCTGTTGTGATTGTTTATGTATGTTTGGAGAGTCCTACATGACGTGTTGAAACCAAATAGTGAACATGGATGTAAATTTCTCACGATGGTCATGGGAGACTCTTCAAGTTTCAGTGTTTTATTCAATTATCCAATGCTCCTGATGGTTTCATCTTTCTTTTATAAGAACTTATTCAAGGAAGAAATGATCCTGATAATGATAGCAAGTAAAATAGCTGCATTCTAAATGTTCTTCACTTTATTTCTCCTTCTCTGTTCACATTTAATTGGTGCTTATTACGAAGCAACATTTGCCAAAGTTTCTGTATGCATGTTTATTTTTAAATGCCTTTTTGGTTCTTACTGCTGTTAAATAATCAATATTTTGCATTAATGTTTCGAGTTTACATCTTGATCTTTGTTTATTTGCTTCAAGGATCGTCGCATCTGTGTGTTGTTCTTCACTGACAATTTATTTATATGTCCGGGAAGCATCACTACTGTACACCATTCCTGCATGCACTAATTTCAGTTGGTGCTGCCAGTTTGGAAGTGGAAGGTTTTTAAAGGTGGAGGAGCTGTTAATGGACAAAAAAGAAATAAAAAGGTTGCTACAGAGGAGGTTGAAGTTGTTCATGTCGACATCTCCAGCTCTCCTTTACAGTCATGCATTGCCCAGTTTTACGGCTGTACATTTCTGCATCTGCTGAACAAGTTTGAAGCAGGCAGGTATCTTAAAATCGTGCCCAGCTTCATATTTTAATTTCATATCCAGAATATCGCTCATGCAATTGATGATTACTTATTCAAATTGCTGCCATGCTTCCTCTCCTCGATCAGGTTTCTAAGTAATTCCTGC